CAAAACATTTCTGAAATACAATCTAATTATCATGTACTTTATGTCTTAAAGTCTAAAATTAAAATTCTAACCCTTTCAGTATAGAGTATTTTATATATAATTTCTGGTTTCATTACCCAACTCTAGTTTAGGGTATGGCATATAAATATCACTCATGGTATTATTCACATTAATTTGTTATAACGATCAAGTATTTAAATTTTGTTGTATTTGTATCTCGCAGAGATTTCAATAGATTAAGTGTAGATATCAAATAATTAAGCGGATTATAAAAATAATAATATAATAATTTTTACTATAGTTTTTTTTTTTTTGTAAATCTATTTAGTCATGCTATTTTGCATTAAATATCAAATATATAGAACATTTATCCTCGTTTATAGCAATCCAATTGAATTGGTTTAAGGGTAGGTGGTACTATTTTAAAATTATATAAACTTAATGGTAAATTTTTTTATATTTAATTTATAAAAATCGTATTAAGTAAACTAATTTTAATTTTTAAGAAAAGTTTGTAGAGTAAGTTTTTCTGTTTCTGATTGTTAAAGATTAGATATAAAAATTTATAATAAAATTAACTTATAGATTAACCAATCAATTTTGGCAAGTTTGTGTAACCCAGAAAATTTTGAGCCAACCCAGAAAAACTTTGTGATATATATAAGTATATTTTTTTAAAATGATATGATAGTTCAAAATTTTACTATAATAAATAAATTATTTTAGAAAATTTTGGCTAAAATTAATCACAATCATAAAAAGTTTTATTAGTGCACATTATCAATTTCTATATAAACCTCCCTTAAATTCATATCAATAGTGATATTAGCAATGGATTAAATTAAGGTTGATATAAAATTTTGTTAGGTTGATATTAACAGCTAGTAAGGGTAGACTGTACTATTTCATTAGCATAAGTGATGTACTAAATAACAGCAATAAGAATTGATATAATAATTTAAGGATATAACTATTGCTATAAACATAAATCATAATAAAATTTCATTGAAAGAAAGCTGAACACTCATTGAATTTATGATTTCAATAAAAGAGTAATCTCATAAATCTATTTGTAATGCTTTAAATATTCATTAAGAGTAACTAAATGCAGGTGTATTTTTGGTATTGAAAATAAAATTTTGTTTAATTTACGCGTCTTTTTTTACCATGAAGTTTTAGACAAGATGGTAAAAAATGATTTTAATATTTTTTAAATTGTTTAAATTATGTTTAATATATTAGTGAAATTGAACCTACTATATTTTATTGAACAATGTTAGCTTCAATCTTCAATCAATAAAGTTAATTACGTAGGTATGATAACTCTTATTTTCACAAACCTATGCAACTATTTAATTAAGTTACTTGGTACAGTCGACCCTCCCCAAACCAATCCTGTCAAAACCGATAACCTGCTATAATCGGTTAAAAATTGATCCACCATACCTGTTCCATAATTGATACCCAATAACCTGTCTTTTCTGATATCCGGTAGTCTTTTTATCCAAGTTCCCGATAGTGTCATGTGAATGTATCCAATCAAATTGCATAAAACTCACCATTTTCATGTGACATATTTGCAAAAATTGCACTCATATCACGTGGCTGAAATTTATTTGTATTTTGGAGACATAAATTCCGAAAAGTTACGATGTAGAAAATGAATGAACCTAAATTGCGAGCACGGTCAAGGTAAAATTTGCAGCAAGTGTCCGAAAAATTCCGAAGAATAGAACTAATTAAATTTTTAAATCCGATACAAAACCTGTCCACCATGCATACCGGTTTGGGGAGGGTCGACTGTATTTGTTTTAAAACTTTAAAATATTTTATTTTAAACCACTGCCACACCAAAACCTATATAGAGCTGCTTTCATAACAGATAATAAATTCAAGGTTGATATAACTTATATATAATTGAAAACTTAAGGTGCTGATTTGATTTTTAATAAAGGATAGTTCATACGTATACTGTAAATCAATTATAGAAATTGTTAATTACGAAGTTCATATCTTTTGCTAGAAAATTACAACGAAAATTTACCTCATTAACGTCATAATTGTCCAATACTATTTGCAGTATCTCTTAATTAAAATTAAAATTAATAAGTATTTACATAATCTAATATTTTCCTGCATATGGTTCACGTCACAAAGAAATACAGTCTGCTTTCTATACAGTCACACACTAATTTTTAGAACAAACCTATATAGAACATAAAAAATCTGACCTCTATACAGGCACGATTTCTTATAAGCACAGAATTTCTTGAAACCGAGGGCATGACTGTAGGAAGGTTTGTCCAATTGTTCAATAGTTTTATTGGACAATTTTAAAAATATGACGGCAAAAGCTTTATTGCTTTTAACTTCAATAATGGCGTTTATCAATTTTATTTTTATTTAATATAAACTTTGTTAACTCTTGAATTTACAATAATTATCAATAAATGTTTCCATTTCAAAGTGTCGGCCTTGGCTAATTTATTTTATTTGTGTGTTTTCTTTTGTAATATGTCTTTATTTTGAAAACTAAAAATAAAATCAACATGTTATCATTATTACTTTTGAAATACAAATCATTTACAGCTTCTAAAATTCTGTTCGATTAATCATATTTCACTAGGGCGATACTAAATATATATTTTTAAAACTATCTAGTGTGTGTATGTACATATATAAACATGTTGTAAGTAAAATGGGATTTTAGTTGATCCGGTAGTGTGAATACGTATGTACGCATGCATGTTTTATAAAATAATAATAAAAAAAATTTACTACGTCCAATCATATTATTTGGACAATTGGACATTGTTCAAATGTCCAATTGCCAAATGTCCAATATCGTAACATGCCATCCTTGTTATCAAATAATTTTGAAAGACTAGCATAAACTAATAAAGGAAATTTTTACAGCCTCTTTAACATTATCTTAGATATTTCAATTTCCTTAGATAAATCGATGTCTGTTCGTTCATCATTAACAAGCATAACATCAATCCGTCCTTCATCAGCACCAACCGTATAGTTTGATATGTTTGTGGTAGAATTAGATGAAGCACTAGTATTACTTATATTACTTATATTACTTATTTTAGTTTGATTGTAACTATCTGTCAAGGAGGCAGGTGAAATTGATAAGTTTAAACGATGAGATAATAAATCTAATAAGGAATTTTAAGAAGAATTTTTTAAATGAACAGATTCAGGAAAAACTAAACGAATATCTTGATTATTTTGATTGCCATGAGCTATATCCTGCTTTGAATTATCCTTTCCAAACATAGAAGAATAAGTATTAGACTTATTTCTAACAAAAGAATTTGTCGGTGGTAAAAAGTTAGATGAAACTAATCGGGTTGAAGTTTTTGGAGCGGAGAAAATCTTAATCAATAGCATATATCTTAACCATTCTAAAAGAGAAGGTTGTGAAATTAAATTATTATTATCAACTCTATTTTCAATATGACTAATATTACCATTATTATTATTATTATTATTAATGTCATTGTTAATATCGTCATTGATGATATCATCATAAATAATATCAGTCTGATTGGAGTTTAGAGTTTTCAAGTCGACAAAATCATTATTTTTTTCTTGCATGCTGAATTCATCGGTAATGGCTTTGTTATAAGATAGGTAAGGGTAGTGAAACTCATAACAGTTAACATAGGAGATCCACCAATGTAGTTTAACTGCCTGGAAAGCACGAGCAACAGCAACATCTTGAGAAAATACTAAAGCATTCATGAATCCTAAGATGAAAGATTAATAAACAAACCATTAATAACAGAATAACCAAAGAATAGTTAAATAAAAAAATATAAAAGATATACACCTTGAAGTGATATGCCAGTGAACGTAAGTAATAATAGAGGAAAAGAAGAAGAAGCTTGATCAACATAACTGTATATTTGAAGAATAGAGGCGAAAAATTGAGCTACTAATGGCACTACAGGGTACCACACAACCCTTCTGACAACGAAAGAAATTACGTTCTTATTAATTACGGTGGAATGACCACAATCATCAACTTCTTTTTTTGCAGATTTGAGTTTTCTGATAACCATAATTATAACGAACGCACAATACAATATAGACGCATATATCCAGCCAAAAAGGGTAACCCATTGCCATATTAAATTGTCTTCTTGACCCAGATTACGATACCAACAACCACTGCAAATAAATATTAATAAAATATGAATATATAAAATAAAATATTAATAAATTTGGCATAAATATAAGATAAATTTAAAATAATAAATACATATAATATATGTATATACATGCCCAGGATCAACATAGCCATACATATTACCGGCAATAGGAAGGAGGGAAAGTAAAAGGGCAAAAGAAAATGCAATTATAAAATAATATTTTTCAAAATTATAACGACTTTTATATTCATTTACGAATATTATATGAAGATTCTAAAATAATAATAATAATAATAATAATAAAGATAAATGAAACATATATAAAGAACACAGAAAATTTAATTATAATACATACCAAAGCTATACAAACGATAAAGAATAGAGAAGAAAGATTAAAGAATACAATTGCCCAAACCTCATATGTAAAAACAAAATTCAAAGGATGTTAAGAGAGTTAAAAAAGAAACTATTGAATATCAAAAGAGACATTGAAAAAGAAAGCTTACCAAGTATCCACACATAAAACCAGGAACAGTGGCCCGAAAAAAATAAACTAAAAGATGACCAGAGAAACCCATATCACAGAATAAGGCCGCAAAACTTAAACGAAATGAAACCCGATCTGCAAGATTAGGATAGCATATTTGTGTTAAACTAAATACTACACAAGTGGTGATAGTAGAAGTGAGAGAAATGATATTCAGAGGAACACATAAATAATATATAATGGGTGATTGTAGCGTGATAATGGTAGAAGCCATTAATCATAATATTTTAATAGAGAAATAGATTTGAAGAGATTTGACAATGTATCGATTTAAAAAATATATATACAATCAAATATAATTATAATTATACTTAAAATAATTAGCGGACAAAGTTTATATATATATAGATCTCAATAATATTGAAGGTTTGTTAGGCTGGGATTTTAAACCAATACCAAGGTAAATATGTCCATTCAATAAAAAAGCAACCCTTTGACCAAATTTATCCATCGATACAGTATTTGCATAGTCTTACATTATGTTTTTTATTGTAACTAAATCTTTTATGGCAAATTGTACTATTGTACTATTTTGCAACCCAAAATATTCATTTGTCATCAGTGGTACCGCGAAGAATTTCGTCAATCGGAACTCGTATTAAATCAAAAATTTTAAATACTTAGTTTATTAGGATTAGGATGAAGCCTTATTTTAGAGTAAGGTAGGTATTAGCGGTATTGTGGTTATTTTGATATATTGATGTACGTACGTGCGTACAGCATCAACGTTTACTGATTTATGTATATATATGGTAATTATAGTTAGATTAATTACTATCCTTGCCGTATTCGATTATGCTGCATGATTTTTTAATCTAAAATGAATTGGCATCCAATTAAATCTATACTAAGTGACTTAAAAAATAATTTATCGTTAACTATTAAGTATGTGGATATATAAAGACCCGAAGGGCTCTCATAAAACCGGAGATCTGTCAAATTATTTCTCCATAGTGGGAAATAAGGGTGTTATTTTTCGTTTTATATGATGCCATGATAGAAGACTAATGACTTATAATATGTAACAACTTTAATTAATGAAAAGAATAAGTTTTCTAAAACGCGTATCATTTCCTTGGCTTGCCGGGAATTATCAAGTGGTGCTGGAAACTTGGTTTTATTGATTATATAGAATGATTATAATAAAACCTTGCAATACGATCGTATAGAAATGTGAATAAATTTTTTTTATTCTCGTGCACTAATAACACGAGCAAAATGAAATTAATAGGCAATATTTTTCGAATATGAATATCTTATTTTAAAACTCTTTAACTAATATTCATGCACTAAATTAATACAGACAGAACGAAATTAAATATTATTGTTGTTTTAAACACTAGATTAATAAATTTTTTTACATTCACCTAAATTAATGCAATATAATTCATAAACCTGAATGGCTCATTCGGAACATTTATATAAAAATCGAAGCCAAGACAATCGAAAATCAAACTAAAATGAGTAAAAATCGAAGCCAAGATAATCGAAAATCAAAGTTAAATGAGTAAAACTCGAAGCTAATCGAAGCTAAAATAAGTAATAAAAAAAATTGGTCGAATTTTAATTAAAATCGTCATATTGCATAACAAATATTATGTAAATATTATAAATCTATATTATACGTAATATGCTACATCCGTACGAATAGATAAACACTACATTATGAGATAAACTATATAAGACAAAAATCGAATCTGATTGACTGGTATCTATTTAAGTTATCACGAGCAATTTTTGTACTGCAGATTGTCTATTAATGGTGATTCTTTCGTTTGGCACTAAGATGTGACCAATAAGCATATACTATATATATACCATATTCTTTATATAGTAAATATTATTTGTCACTTTCAAGTGCCAAATTCTATAAATTTTAAAACCTTGCCCAGCGGTACGGGTACTTGCTATGATTTTCCACGAATAAATAAACACTATAAGATAAACAATAGGAGACAAAAATCAAATCTGATTGGTGTTTATCAGTTTAAGTAACGCATCATGTTGATCCAATAATCTTCTATCTATCTATTCTATTTCTATATTTAATTTTGGGTTCGTGCGCTTTAACGTTTTTGATTGGCCAAATCCAAAAAATGTGATCTGAGCGTGGGAAAGCCTTTTAAATATGATAATTCGGTAATTCGAAAAATTCCGGTGATTATCCACATAATACGTACGTACGTATCTGTAATTATTGTGACATGATCTATTTTCTATTGATTCAGAGTTTGCATTCAATTTTATTTGGTTGCCAGTAGAGTTGGCCCCGAAACCACGTGATGCTAATTTGTCACATGCTATAACTTATAAAAATCGACGATCTATTTTGATTTTTTATAAGTAATAGCATGTGACAAATTAGCATCACGTGGTTTCGGGGCCAACTCTAGTTGCCAGTAAATAACGTCATTGATAATTCATAATATTTATGCAATGTGTAGAACATAGTTTCTATAGCGGTTTTTTCATTTTAGGTAACGTTCTCACAAAAAATTGTTCACCCCCGGTAATTTTGACCAACCAAATTTTAAGATCAGATGTGACTTGATAGTCAAAACAAACAGGTTTGTTTTCTAAGTAAAAGGTTGCGTGTAAAACTAAATCACGTTATAGTTAGGGTTAAAGTTGTGTCTATTGGTAAAATTTCACAAGAAACATTTTTAATTAGGCTGCTGAAGGTGGTTTTCTAATTAAAATTTAGAGCTTTTCTCGTTTTTTTTTGTAAAAAAGTTACCTCGCTTCGATTTTTACGTTACATCTGATCCTGAAATTCGAATATCACAAGGATGAACAATTTTTTGTAGGACAATAGGGTGTTCGTTATTTCTTGATGTTTAATTTACTAATCCATATTATTAATCTATATTATATCTATATTATTAATTTTGAGTTCGTGTACTTCAACGTTTTTGATTGGTCATATCCAGAAATGTGCCTGTGCTTGAGTGTGGAAAATACATGATCAGAATTTGGTTGGAATATGATTAATTATGACAATGACTATTCTAACGTTATCTATTTACATATGACATTCTGGATTAAAGTTGCTTATTAAAGTTATTTGCTGATTACAGGATTGAGATATTATAAGTTAAATTTACTTAGTTTTACTACTTACAACATTCTGTATTTCCTGATTATGACATTCTTAATTTCTTCTAATTATAAATTGCAACATTTTAAATTGATCTTTTTTTTTATTACGACATCTAATTATACTATCTAATTTAAAGTTCGCCCATTTAAACGTTTTTGGGGACCGTCTAAAGCCGGTAGTCACGTGACCACAGCCACAGTGGCTAGTGTGGCGCATTTCATCTAAAGCCAGGTAGTGGCATAAGTCTTCATGTCTAAAGCCGGGTAGTGACGAAAATATCATGTGGCTATTAGATTACGTCACTACCTGGCTTTAGACGACCCCGTTTTTGGTTTTCCTGTGAATTATTTACTGATATTATGTAATGCATACCAAATATAGTAAAATGTGATCGTTTATATGATTAATGTCATCATTTTTTCATAATCCACCTATGAATTAATAATCGAAATATATAAAATTGAAATATGATAAATCAAGAATTGATTTTTAAAATCAACTTTTATGTTATGCATTGCTAGGATAGTAAGGTTTGTAAAAGAAATTTTTGCAGAAATTCATGATAGAAAACATAATAATTTCAATGCAAACTAACTTAATCTTAACCACAAACTGTTAGTTATATGAATAATAAGCTAGCTCTGTATATATAAATTTTTTTACATGATAGTTTTGTTGTAAATAAACTCAAACTTGACTATATATTATGTGTTAAGTAGTGCTTAAACTTTTGTTTGACACTCAAATACATGTGATGATCTAGATTTAAATCAATGCAGCAATATGGTAATGTAATAATGCAGTAATACAGTATTGCAAAGGTCAGAATGTCACATGTATTTGAGTGTCAAAAAAAGGTTGATTTTGCTAAGCACTAGGTGTGTGATTGAATTTTTTATTGTAATAATAATATAAATTTTAAGTATTTTACTATATACATAATAGTGATTTTAAGAGTGATTGAAATGCATATATCATGAAAAATTAGCATCAGAATCAATTATAACAAGCTATAAAAAATATTTTCTTGATTTTATATATACAATTCTTGAATTTCATTATCAATGATTTAATATTAATATTTTAATATTATTGAATTTAAAACAAAAAAATAACAGAACTTCAATATATAATAAACTAATTATTCTATCAAAACTAAATTATATTCTCAAATTTCTTTTACAAAAAAGTAAAATTGATTATAAAAAATTTAAAAATCTAAAAATTTTAAAGATAAAAGCTAATTAAATTAATCAAATTAAA